AGTACACACACAACCTATATAGTTTAATATACTAGCTAGGTATTATTATGTGTTGCTTATTTTTAGCATATCAGATGTATTATTATGTATTATAATATTATTTTGCACGTAGTACTTAATTGGAATTAAAAAAAAACAACGGCGTTTAAGTCCTAGCAAGACAATAACACAATTACTGTAGTTTATACTTAAATTATGATATATAATTCTACAGTCTTATAATTCTATTAAAAAACTCCCATTATATCATATTACAATTATTACAAAAATCATTATATTTAAAACACACACATGCACGTCATGTGCATATTGCATTTTTTCTATTATTTCGATTTAAACAATGGCATTAAATCGTTGAGCCTGTTGAGGTTACAGGTTATGATGTAAGGTTCACATAAAAATTGAATAGGTACATTTAAACACACTCGTTTTATTGTTTTGTTTCTTATATCAATAATAAATCCGTATCACTACAAGAACATGATTTCATTGAACAAGAGAGTGTGACATTCGCACTAGTTATAGATTATAACTTAATACTTATAATATTAATATACATTGTATTTTAATTTAAATTATTATCATTTGAAAAATTATATTTTAATTTATCTGCTTAAAGGTATATGTGAACTTAATATTAATCATTTATACTTATGTACATACGAACTATGGATAAAAAAGTTTCGTAATAAAATTTTTGGTAGTTTTGCTCGGGAGAAGTGAGAGTCGAGTCACGACCGCGACCACCGTAAACGAGATTCGTCGGAAAGATAATAAATAATATAAGGACGAGGGTCACAAGAAAGGTACATTTTGTCGGGGTTGTGTGTACAACAATAGAATAAATCGTTAAGCTAATGAAGATAAATGGCTTTTTTTAGATTTTGTATACTAATCGATGAGATTGACATCGCGGGATGCATATCATATAATACGTATTTTATAATAATTACATCTGTACCTACATAGGTCTCAATATGAACCCAGAGAAATTTACAGACGTGTACACCGATATCACGCGAGTACTTCCAACTAGATCCAAGTCATTGGCACTCCAGTAGTGCATTTAAAACGGAAATAATTTCTTCGAGTGTTTGGATTCGTACAGTGAAAGCCATTTTTGAGCAAACGCAACGGAGAAAGTATAATACACTTCGAATATGAAATAACCTTGATGGAAAAAGCCTGTCTCCCAGACGATATATACATTTAATTGGACTATAACTTTTTACTAGTGTAATTATTTTTTAGTAACAATTATCATAAAAACCTTGACGTCTCATTAACCAACGGTTTTCATTTCGAAACCGTCTTAATGGCTACCGTTGRCCGGTTTTGCGTATCATATTATACTATTATATTATTATATTTAATATTTATTACCACTAATTTCCACTCATCTACATGTATATTATCTCGACTATTTGCTTACCTATAGGTTTATGTTCACTATCGTCTATCAGCGTCAATTCACTTGTTCAATGAGTGTAATTAATATTTCAATATGATTGTGGCGTAATTTTCTTCTTTTGATACGACAATATAATATTATAATATGAATTATATGATACTAATCGTGAAAAGAAATCTGACAAAATGCATGTTAGCTTGAAGCTGACTATCGCAATCATTGTAATTTTATATTGATATATCTTCATAATATAAGTTATACAAATATACACGTGTAATATTATGTGCAGTATATTATATCAATGTATAGYAGCACCATACCTAATTATATTATATAGAATAAATATATATTAAATAAACAATAGATTTAATATATGTCATGTGATATTATTAGTTTGATAGTAAAATAAAATAAATTATATATGCGTCGTGAATAGACGTTACGCATTATGGTACCCATTRACCGTTTATAACATAACTATAAATTAAAAAACCGTTAGGTACATCTATATTAAAATTTTAAACATTATAACACAGTGTTTTCGATAGGAAAATATGGTCGATAATAAATAATAATATATATTTAATACACACATTTAGGAAGGTTAGGGGAATTATTTACCGTGATTTGAAATTTTCTGAGCGTTTAATTTATATTATAAATGCTAAAAATTTTAAGCCTAGCATAAATTAGATATATAGTCAAAAAAWWTTTTTATTGATGCCTTGTCATAAAAAGAAAAAAAWAATGTTTACACAACACTACCTAGTAATGATGTGGTACTGYGCTAGTGACTACTACTGACTACTGAATAACTGAGTGTTAGTAGGTATACTACATTCATATAATAGTATAATATTAGACTTACTTGCAGACACTATACATGTATAATAAATCATATTTAGTTTTAGACTGATAGTGCCTCTCCATAGTCCATACRCCAACATTTAGATACCTATTTACAACCTATTAAAATATATCAAACAAAACTGACTAAGAAATTATTACTGTCGGTAGATATCAAAGTATTATGCTAAAAAAAACTTGTTTGGACGTTGTATAAACATATTATCAACATTCAACATAGAACGAGTATATTATGCAATAAAGTTTTAGAATTTTGTTAAATTTATCGGAATTTATAATTTATGGTAAAATTTGATCACTTTAATAAAAAATATAAAACTTTTTAAGTTAAATTATGAAAGTGATGAAAATTCGTAGGTATTATTAAAGATTAATATTAATTCATGGCGTACTTATCATTCTAATAATTTATAGTACTGTCTCGTCACATGATTTATATTTTTGGTGAGGTGTTTATAATTCTCAACAGGGTGCAAAATTTTTCATGTAAAATGCGTTATTATTATAATTTATTTATCTGTGTATTTATCGCAAACAAACATTTCCTGTATGGATTAAATTTAATATTAATTTATAACACCAAACATTTGTACACTACTCAAGTACCTATTGTATGAACATATTGTAATAATACTAATAATTTATAAAATCCTGCACAGGATAGAAATATTAATTATTTAATTTTAAATAATATTCATAAAATAAAAAATAAAGATAAATATTTTGTAAAWTTCATTCAAATACATTAACATTTTGTATTGAATAATACATTTAACCTGTCATCAACGATATCTACTTTTGACGAGACTTACTTTAAATTTAATTATATAGTTTTTAGTTTTTTACTAACATTACGCATTTCACGTACATTATTATTGTGTTTTAGCTTGAATATAAATGCTGTTTAACAATAAAAAATACAATATAAATGTAAAATAATGATATACAAAAAATCTATAATTTAAGCAGAACAATAATATTAGGACATCATATTAAATTTAAATAACATAATATATAACYTATTTTCAGTATACCTACGTACRATGTAGGTAGGTACCTACTTAATACTTATATCTATATCATATTGCACGTTTAATTTATTTTGATATTATTATTTCAAATTTTACTGTCAGTAATATATTTAGGGGGTTGGGGGTAGAGACCTTGATTATCCCGGSYGTAATTGTTTTAAAAGGTTTCTATTTTTGTTTTACACACAAGTGACATAGGATTTTAGACGTATTTTATGCCAAACGTATCAATTTATCTAATAAAGCTTTATGAATTCTAAAAACAGATTTGTATTTGTCGTCAAGACTACATGAGATAGATTTTCACACATATTTCATACTATCACCCAAATTTCAAAAAAACGTTACATTAAAAAAGAGTGATTGAAAAATTGCAATATTTCAATTTTTGAAGAGGTTAAAATCAAAARATTAAACATTTGTGAAAGTTGTTCCTAAGTAGACTTGACAAAATCTGTTTTCAGAATTATTGCTTAACTATATATCAATCGGTACGTCTAACAAGAAACATGGCTAAAACCATATGTCATACGTCATGAGTGTGTTAAACAGACAAAAAATCATGATATCTAATCCCTTTAAGAGAGATATTATGTATTTTACATGGCCAATCTTCTATTAGTTAATAATTAAATCAATAATTAAGAAATGAGAATAATAATAACAGTTTGGAGAGATGAGTTTCAACGCTAAAGTTAAACAAATAGAATAGTTACCTACTTTAAAAAGTCGGTTTAGAAATTGAGATATCAATATATAACTCACTAATTCAGTAAATCAATTATCTTAAAGACTACCTATTTAAATTTTAAGTTAGTATGAATAAAATCAGAATAATTTAAAACTAAAGGACGAAAGAAAAAAGAAAAATCGGTCAAGTTAAATTGAGTTCTAAATAATATAGAGAATCATTTTAAATTAACACTTATATATTGGATTCCATGGCGACTGAATTTGAGAAAAAGATAAATTGCTTAATATGACMATGTAAATATTGTAGGACAAATTTTCATTCTTCTTGAATACAACCGACTTAAATATTATTGAAATTGTAGAAAAAACTGAACAGTTAAGAAAATATTATTCAACAGATCTGAATATCTTATTTCTAAACAAATACATACAATTTCTAGTAGTTACTTTACCTAAAGATGAAAGAGAAATTACAATTATCAGTTATGGAGGCGTGTCTGAAAGTTAAAAATAAGGGATCTTAAAACACGTTCCCTTACCAAAATGTGAATATTTTCTTGAATATAATATTATATGCAATTAGTGCATTAACACGAATAGAATGTTAATAATTGTTTTGGCACGCCCCCCAGGTTGAGAGCCCGTGATCTATACCTTATAAAAAAGCAATATGATATGTAAATAAAGATACAAATTTATTAAGTATGTTTCATATTTAATTTACAGTTATGAATAAAAAAAATATTTAGTAAAATGGTGAAAATATTTATGAGCAGAGGGGGGGTGAGAATAGTACCAGGGCCGAGGGCACCAAATTTCTGAATACATTGTATTGTACGAATCTATTGTACGTGCCATAATCTAAGCTGAACATGCGATTAACGAATGTAATATGTTTTTATTATTCAAATAAATTAGTGTAAATAGATACATAATAAAAATAATTAAATACAAAACTATGTGTTTAAACTATAAATATTGTTTTTTATGTACAATTCTAAATAAAATAAACTACTTACTACAATAATAATGTCACAGCGAAATATTATATTAGATATAATTTAAATAGAGGATAAGTGGTCAACGGCGAGAGTTTACACATAATGAACATAGAAATATGCATCTACTTACAAATTATTGTGTCGTAGTACAAAATGTATTTAGCTTAACAACGACGTTGTAACGCAATGACGATATTTAAAATATTATGGTATTGAATTACACAAAAGCCTAGAAATATCTGATCATCTAATTTACGAGATTGTTTTGGGAATCTATGATTTATTTCTGAAAACCATGCATGAAACAAACATAGGGGAGAATAGTTATATAAAGCTATATTAACATTGGTATTAAAATAATTTATATACTACAAATGTGTTTCGATCGCTTGTATATAAATAATATGTATTATTGTGCGTTGTGTATGATAGGTCTGATGGTCGATGCATATATTATAATGCTTGATCGGATATTTCTCGGCTRTTTGTCGTGAGCATTTTAGGCGATAAAGTTATWATAATATTAGGTAATCATTTAAATCATTATTATATATTGAGCTACTATAATATATTATATATTTAGCACCGGCGATCATCGCCGTTTGTTGTGGTGCCGTTTATTGGCCATTGAAGACTGGAAGAACGACTCAATGGGCAACAGCGGTCTGTCAGCCGCATACGAGGTGTGGTACTTGTGCCTCGGTGCCACCGGAGTTACCGCGACCGTGGTTGCAACATAATCTACGTCTTCGGAAGACGCGGCGTCCATCGCCTCAGAAGACGTGTTCTCGTCGAATGGCGACACGGACGAGCTCCTCCTGAGCGTGTTGTGTTCTTCAGCCACCGAGGCAGTGGCCGGCTGCACTGAGGCCGTCCTAATGGTCGGAACCGTCCGCCGTTTGGCCGAATACACTAAAGGTCTGGTCGGCTCCGTGGCGGCCGCCGGTTCGCTACCATCGTCCACCACCGGTACCGCTGAGTCTGTGCTCGTTCTCAGTCTGTTGTAGTACTTGCCAGGCTTATATTTGTTCCTGTACGCCCGTTCCGTGGTGGTATCCTGTTGCTGTTGTTGTTGCGGTTCTTCCGTGGTAGTTGTCGTCAATGTGCTAGCCTTGTACCGATTGGGCCGAATCCGCGGTTTGTACGACTTCCGCGCAGTTGTGTTGGCGGGCTGTTCAACGGCTTCCGGATCTGTGGGCGCGGGACTCGTGGTGGTGGTCGTCCTCCGTCCTACTGTAAACGGCGCTTTCTCCGTACTGGTGGTAGTGGTCGTAGTGGTCGTGGTTTTATAGTCTTTGATACTGAACCGCGGCCGTGTACCGTTTCCGTATTTGGATTTGATCTTTGCTCGCGCGTCCGTCGCCGCAGCATCTGCGGTATTCGGCTGAGATGTGATCGTTGTCGTTGTGGTAGCTGCGGTAGTGGTCGCTGCGGTCGTGGTAGTAGTGGTCGGYGTCGGTGTCGGCGCTAATGTCACTCGTTCAGGCACGTTTTCGTATTCGACTGGCTGGTATGGTTCTTTGGGCCTGGATGACGGTAAAGGTTTCTTTTTCTTAAACTTATTCACTGACACTGGAACAGGTCGTTCTTCTCTGRCCGGCGCGTAGGTCGTCGACGCCTCTGTCGTGGGGACAAACACCGTTTCGTAATCTTCGTGTTGTTGGTACTGCTGTCGTGGTCGGTAGTCCTGTTGGTGTTCTTGTAACTGTAATTGTTGACGGTTGGGCACCGCATACTCATCGTAATCGTCCGGCAAGGCGGTCGTCGTGGTGGTTGTCGTTGTCGTGATTGGTTTTCGCTTGCGCGTCGTCTTGGGCGCAACCGTGGTCGTGGTAGTGGTCGTGGTCGAGGTCGATGTTGACATCGGCTTGGTAGGACTTTTCAATATGTCATACTGCTCGCCGGACTCGTTCTCGTCTTGTTCTTCATGAGCGTCGTACTCTAATGAACCACCAACTACGGCGTCTTTGAAGTATGGCGCCTTCGGACGACTGTCAGAGGGTTGCTGTTGGCCCAACGTAACTGGCGTAGGCAAAAAAGTGGGCAGCGCATTGACTTCTTTCACCGGGAATATCCGATAAAGCTCTTCGTTTTTAGGTGTCGGCGTCTGGTACTTGCTGAATGGCCTGGTCGCTGGGTGCGTGAACGCGGTCGACAAGTCCACTGTTACCGGTCGGATCGGTTGGCTTAYGTGTTCCTGGCCGAACCGTACTTCTGTGCCTACATTTAAATTGTGCACATACTGATTGGGTTTTATGAATACGTTTTGATCTCCATTYGATTGTTCAAACGGTCGTGCAAAATTCGAGATTTGAGGATACAAATTTTGGCTTTCGACGTGACCAGGATACTTTTGGAAGTACGCTGATGATCCACCTTCTGTAGGCGATTTGTACTGCTGTTCCTGTTGTTGTTGTTGTTGTTGTTGTTGATGGTGGTGGTTGTAGTTTTGGTGTTGTTGCTTATGTTGCTGTTGTTGTATTGACTCTGAGGGGCTCACTAAAAATGGTTTTGGTCGTTGTTCCGCGTAAACTTGTTTGTTATTACCCTGAGGTCTCGGGAAAATATGATCATTAGGCACATAATATGGCGTCAGTCTCTTAGGAGGATCTTGTACGATTGGTGGTGGCTCCTTGAATCCAAAGCTCTTATGATTGTTGTTAGGGTTGTTGWTCTGACTATTGAGGTTGTTGTTGATGTTGTGGAATTGGAAGTTTTGGTAGAAYTGTGGAGGTGATTGTGGTGGTGGTGGTTTTTGATAATTTTGAGGATGACGTTGTTGAGCGTTGAATACTACGATTGCGGGAGGCTTTTGGTCTTCTGGTTCGTTGTAATCATTTTGTTGAAAACGACGGTCGTTAGTTTCTTCGTAATGCCTGTCAAAGTTGTAGCTTGGTCTGAAATTTAAAGTGTGTGCTGGCTCTCTTGCCTCGATAGTTGCATGGCCGAATTCACTAAAAGAACCTAATATAGTGGGTGGTGGTTGAGCGAACACTTCAATTTTGTTAGATGCCGCTGGTTGTAGATTGAGTGGTCGGTTGCTATACCGGACCGGCGGCGTTATATGTACAACCTGTGAAAATCCATTGTTGATTCTAGTTGACCTTTTATCGATACCAGATATCGGCACCCAGTCATCTTGCAAATCATTAGAGAAGTCCTAAACAATCAATAAATATATAAAACATAAAAACATAAAATTATTTTTTAACTAAATTAAATTATTTACTAACATTATTTTCCTTGGGTAAATAAAAATGTTCACCTCTGACAAATAAAATGAATCCTAAAAGAAATGAAAATGATTATTAAGGATTTATCAAATAGTTATATATTATAATATTTATAATATATTCGAAAATAAAATTACTTTTAAAATTATAAAAATAATATTTACCAAAAAGGATACTCAAAGAAATCAAACAAGCAGATGTCCTTACACTCATTKTTCAGTCGTAAAACCCATTTACCTCTGAAATATATACAAAAATCATATGTTAAAAATTWAAAAAAATTTACATAATTTTACCTTCACGGAATTAATGCGTTGTTTAAAATGAAGATTAATATCTTAAGCATAATCAATTCAAAGTCATAAGTCAATAATTATACAGTTTACGAATAGCAATTCATTGGAGTTCATAAATGTGTTTACTTTCTATTCATTATATAATTATATCATTATAGCATAGTGTCTATTTATTAATTTATTATACTTTTTKTATTTTTAATTTCGTTAATAATAAATTATAAAAATAAATAACTTAACTGTTAAATATTCTAGTATTAACATTATAGAACTGAAATAACAACAGATCAATTAGAAAAATCGAGGAATGAGACGTGRTTAGTCAGAGGTTATTTTCCTTAATTTTCAAAACTAAGGAATAAATTTGATATCAATGCAAAACAATTTTTTTTTTAAATAGTTTAACAGATAACAATGTTTTTTTCAAATATTTTCATAGCTTTATTTAAAAGGACGGAGGCATTATTATCATTTAAATGATYGCTAAAAAATAAAATTAAAAATACTCACAAAAGAAAAAATTAAAAATATTTATAGATATATTATTTTAGTTAAAATGTTTATAAGTTTCAACTTATAACTATATTATACGAGGTAGGAACTTACTTATAAACCAAAACGATTTTTCGAATGGAATGAAAATTTTAAATATTATAACTATGTATGATATACCTTTCTAACCTAATAGGCTACACGATACTACTTATACTTATCTTTTTAAGTAGTCTAAATTATTATAACACTGATTTGTAGACAACTATGTATTATTAGTTGCATACTCTACGTTTAATAGGGAGCTCACAGTAAGACATATTTTACTTACCAATCTCTTTGATTGTTCTATAATTTGATACACTCTAATGCAATATTTTACTCGTAATTTGAGAAATTAACAAATCCTTACTCATTAGATAAATATAATATATTTTACATTAGACAAAAACATAATTAGTGTGCAACTCCAAAGTTCAAACGGTTACCAATTTGTTGCCATCAATTTAGTTACATTTATAAGTAGGTACATACAGTTTCTGTGTTCATATTTTAAAATTATAATTTGTGAGAATCACGTGGTTATTGGTTGATTAGATTTGGAAAACTCACAATATTCCAYTTCAAAAACTCCAATCAACATATAAAAGATTGTACAATTTTAGTTTTTTGATTTAAAAATTAATATTTTTTAGTCTTTTAAATAATTTGTATATTTGACATATAATTGTAATTTTTTAACTATTATTATCTATACTTTTACATGTTCATATTAATAGCRCTCTTATTGATTATTTTCTTTATTATCCTTATACATAAATACAGAAAATAATAGACATATGTCATGTTCTGCTTTTCTGGCGAGGCAATTGAATATTTTTCGATATCTCTGTTTCCAAATTGTTCCAAATACAATTGAAAATGACTACACTAATACAAAACAGTGTTATAGCTCACAAAATAAAATTTCAAAACTAGTTTTATGTAAGCACAATGCTATATGACTGGGATAGTTATCGTGGAACGTTCTTGAATTATATATGGACATGGAAAATAAAATATTAATAATATYATATTTATATTCTGAAAGATGACGGTTTTTATCGGTATATAAGTACATTAAATTGTATGTTGTATAATCTGTATATACCTTTTATCCGGTTTTATGTTTGTTGGTGTTTATAACTTTAGTATAATCCACCTAGTATTAGTGTTCATGTTGACGGTATTTCTAAACAATTCTAATTTATATCGACGTTTTTCCATCAACGAAAACAAAATTTCATTTCCTGTTCTTTTGTCTTTTTACTTAACATTAGAATGTGTCATTTTGCATTCATCTAGTCAAAACGTTCCACGTACGATCGTAAAAAAAAGGAAAGTGTATGATACAATAAGACATGTAAAATTCACATTTATTGGTAATTTCGCATTTGTTTTTTTTATTGTTAATAACCCATTACAGGTGACAATGATATAATTTAATACGCACTTACATATATTCTCAAATTATTGTATGCATATATGTTGCCATTCAAACGYCAATGGAAATTGCTTATTCAATACTTACTATTATAAATAGTTTATAATTTATATATATATAATACCACATCATAATATTATGATTTTTTACGATAATTCATTGAATCAGCCAAATTAGCATGCAAAAAATGATAACTGAAAGAAAATGTGAAGAAACTCACCAACACCAAATAGGCGGTATATGTACCAATGTACCGTACACATTTAATGTAAATTACTGTATGTAAATACTTTGTATACTTATAATTCAATTATTTGATTTTTTTTTTTCAGGAATGACTGTTACCTATAAATTAACCAATATTTTAAATAATTATTTGAATCACTAATTTTCAGTACTTATATTACCTACATAACAGATAGCCATGAGTTTTAAGACATAATATAGGTAYMTA